TGTAGTGTTGAACCTATAAATGAAACTGATGAAGGCATTTCCAATCTTTCCACTCCTGGAAAAGGCCATGTAAGAGTCTTCCATTGTTACTAGATTTTCACAGGTTATATGATGACTATTAGAAACTCAGTATTCTGCCTTGAAATCAAAGTATGTTGATTATGGCATTCTGACAAGTTGTTGTTTTATTCTCTCTGTGTTCTAATGTTATAGCTTTGAACTCTTCTGGTTGTACTAGAAGACTTTTGTTTTTTCATCACATCTATTAATAGATCACCAAATCTTTCCGTTTTCAAATTTTAGTATTTATTAAGTAAAATATTGCCATGCAATAAATGAAATTTATTGAAGTAACGAAACTTATTTCATTTTCCCATATCCAGTGATTTTCAGAATAATTTTTCTTATTAAATTTTATTTGATTTGAACTGTCTGAATCTAGTAGTAGACATCTGTAGAAATTTTATAAAGATTAAACCAATCTTTACTCAGTTAACATTTGCATTTACAGTAGAACTTTAATTCTGAATCAATTGGGACCTGACCCCCCCATTCAGATAATCAAAAATTTGAATAATTGTATTTTCTGAAGAAAGGGTCTAGGTACACTTCAATTAATTACTGTATGTGCTGTATGTTGAAAATGGGAGGAAAAACCCCTATTTTTTTTTTTTTTTAAAGAGGTTTTAATTAATTGAAATGAAAAGGCATATTGCCATTTATTTATATAGTGATTGCTTTTAACTCATGTTGCTGTTATCTGATATGGACCTTGTATTTTGAACATTTGTAGTGTTGAACCTATAAATGAAACTGATGAAGGCATTTCCAATCTTTCCACTACTCCTGGAAAAGGCCAGTAAGAGTCTTCCATTGTTACTAGATTTTCACAGGTTACATGTTATATAGGAAGCAATGACTTTCAGCACTTGTAAGTACTGTACAATATCCTATATAACATGTTTTTGCTTACATGTTATATAGGATATTATACAGTATTTACAAGTGCTGAAAGTCATTGCTTGCTGAACATCTCAGTCAAAGTAAGCTGTTTGACTGTCTTCTTCCATTTTGGGGCAGCTAAGTCACGCTTCTGCTTGACAATGAGAAGTTGCATGTGGTCACACTCAGACTGTCTCTCCATCTACTTCAATGCAGTTTCAAGGATGGCAAATGCTTCATTAACTGATACCTAGGTTATAAGATTAAACTTCGACATTAAGGTCATCTTCTTCCTTGATACTTTATTCTTTCACACTTTCAATATCATCAAATTAAGTTCATCATCATTTAAAATTTAAAATCCAAGGTCTGACGAATAACACACCATCCATTCTGCTGTATCCTGAGCACTAACTTCTGCAATGCCTTTCAACTTGTTCTACGCACGTCTTAATACAACTGCCGAAACCAAGCTCTAAACCTCCGCCATCACAATCTTTCAAACTAATTTTTTGTGATTAGCTAATACACCTTCTTCATCTTTGCTCTCTACCAAAAGTTTCCTTAAAAATTGCCTCCTGTAATGACGTTTCATGGTCTCGATAAGCAGTCTGGTCCATTGGTTGCAACAAACTTGTGACATTTGGCAGTAAAAAGATTGTTGTAATAGCCATTCCTTCTTTTCAACAATTCTCCTGTGGTGTGAGTTGGCGTATTATCAACAGTCAAAAGGACTTTACTGCCTTCTTTTCCAAGATATTTTTGGTGCTTTTTCACTTTAGAGAGGAAAATTTCGGCATGCCACTTGGTAAACAGTATTGCAGTCATTCAAGCCTTGGGTTGATATAAAAGAGGGAAAGCTTTTTCACATTTTTAAACGCACTTGGACTTTTTGACTTCCCCTATCAACAGAAGGGGTATTTTATGTACTACAGAACCATAGCCAATAATAGAACTATCTATGAGACAGGGATTCATCATCTCAATAATGTTTGCGCTACGCCTACACTAGCTTCTTGGAGGGAAGGACAATAGTGCGCATAGACAGAATCATTATTTTGAGAATCGCAGTACATTTACATCTTATTTTTTTCCTTAAATTCTGAATGCAATTTGGATAATCAGCAATTCAGGTAGTCAGAGTTCAGATCTCAATCTTTATCTGAATTGTTTTAATCTACTGTAGACGTTTTTAGAACTTCATATGAAGATTCAGCAAATGATTAATCAGTTAATATTTGTATTTAGTTATTTTTATATCAATGTGTGGTATATTGTTAAGCTTATCCACACCATATTATAGACATGGACTATTAATTTTATTTTCATGATATTTAAAAGGCCTTTGATAAATAAAAGCATTCCTTTCCTATTCAGAATATTAGCAATATAAAATTTTAAGAAAAACCATTAAGTGAAATAGCCAAAAAACAGAAAATTTAGAATATGTAATTAAATATTAATATATTTTACATTAGAATTACCGTATTTGACGGCATATCAGACGCACTTTTTTTCGTAAATTTGGTCTCAAAAAAGTTACCAGCGTCTTATATGTTAAGGACACAGGTTAATTTTCAATACTGAATGCTATTTTTAGCCCAGATAAAGGTCTAGACACACATAACTTTTTCTACATCTGTCATAATTAATTTGCGCATGTGTGAAGTATCTGTTGCCAAAAAGCGCCAAAGCTCGAAGCTGATGTCGAAGTTCGAACAGGTTCGACGGTCACATTACGTCTATGGAGCCTTTCCTTCTTTACATAGACTTTCTTTGACTCAGCCGACACACGTGCCGGTATCGGTGCTACTCTGTATAAACGTGTCAGTATCGGTGCTTAAAACTATTTGTTTAAAAAAAAAAATACCCTGGAAAACATGACTACAGGAAACAAGAGATTAAGCTATACAATTCAGTATAAACTAGGAGTGTTAAACTACGCCAAAGTGCATGGAAACAGAGCAGCAGCAAGGCATTTCCGTCCACCACCTACCGTGGACTCTTAAGAAAACCTTTATTTGGCTTTTGGTTTTGTGTCAGTTTAGCACTCATAGAACTGAAACCATAAAGAATAAAGCAAGAGAATTAAAAACCCAGATAGCTGTCATTCCTGGTGGACTGACTAGCCAATTGCAGCCTTTAGATGTATCGGTGAATAAGCCATTTAAGGAAAAAATGCGAGAACGGTGGAACAAGTGGATAGGAGAGCCACATCATTCCCTCACACCCTCAGGTAGAATGAAGCAGCCCTATTTCACAAGTGTGCGAGTGAGTAAAAAGATCTTGGGAGACGTAAAGGCTGAAGTAATTGTTAAGTCCTTTAAGGATCAGTAATGCTGTTGACGGAATAAAAGACGAACATTATTCGAAAAAGGTGATAATAGCAATGACGGAAACAGTAGTGATGACGATATTCTCGTTTTCGATGATGATGATAGTGAAAAGGATTTTTATGGTTTTAAAAGTGATTAAAGTCTAATTTCATGATAGGCAACGGTTTCCTTGAATCTATGTATTTTGTGGTTTCTGCTTTATTTTGTATTATCTTTGATTGCTTGCCGTTCATTCATTTATTCATTATTGAAATTTACATATCATGTTCAAAACAGCTTGCCGTTTGTTAATTTTCCTTAATAAAAATATGTTTGGTAATTGCATTCAATAATTGTTTATTTGGCTTTTACGAAACGTGAGAACTAAAAGAAACCACATTTTACATCTCGCGCGGACTATTGAAACTTTTTTCCCTTGTCAAATTTCCCTTGTCTGCCGTCAAATACGATATATTATAAATAGTTCAATAACCTGACTCACATATTATAAAATTGACTTAAATGAATTTGTAGTTCTTCTGAAATGTTATCACCATTCAGTGCGAACCCCCCTCCAAAACTCCTGCTTTTTTTATATTTTAAGGGGTTGGTAGCTATTTTATTGTTACTGGTGTTATATAAATTTAATTAATGTAAAGGCTGCACTTAATATGCCAAAATGTAAATTACAATAAGTATAAACAAACTTCCCATACAGAGTTTTGCACAATAAATGAAATCTAGCAAGAGGAGTTGCCTTTTTATTTATTAGTTTTGGAAATATTGAAGCACAATGTGTGTTTATGAACAAAACTGGAAGCAATGAGAGCTTTTCCACATTGTTAAAAATGAGGATAATTTTTCCCTTTGGTGCCAAAGCAGAAGTAGTGGATTGCAACTGAATGATAGCTGCTCATGGATATACACTCTTCATAAATATATTTTAGTTCATTTTAGTGAAGAGTGGACTAAGTATTCTTGTTTTGTTGATGATTTGGTGTAACTATCTCAATGTGAAATTCAATAAAGCTTCTTGGTAAGTATGCAGTAAGACTTTATAGAGAGCTTTTCTGAATGTACAAAATTCAATCTCTTTGTCATAAATCTTTGCATGTTTTTAGTTAAAAGTTAACTCATATGAATAGCAAACATTTGTAAATAAGCCATTATTGCTAAAATTTGTTTAATAGTTATAAATTACTATTAATTATAGCTTTATGATTTACTCTACTATTTTATTGCATATTAATTTTTGTATTGTGCTTAATTTTTTAGTTGGATTAAATTGGTGGAAACATGTAAAAACTCAATGGCATATATGACTGAAAGAGTATATTGATTTGATTGGTACCCTTATTACATGTAAATAAAACTATGAAAAATCATGTGCAACTGGTTCATGTTTTTAGAAAATGACCTGAGAATAAAACTACAAATATTCAGAAGCTTTATTCCCTCACTCAACTTTGAAAATAAAGCAACCTTGTGTTTTAAGTGGGGGAAAAAAAAAAAAAAAAAACATGTTAGTGATCTTGCCATTTAGACTTTTTTTTTTTTTTTCATTCTCATAACCAGAAATTATTACCGTTATGCAATTTGCAATATACAGTAGCATTAAAATTTTTGAATTTTTGATCCAATACTCTCTTAGAATGTCTGTGAAAATGAGGTGTTTGTTTTTTAGTTTAATACTTCAGGATGATTTTAATTGTTTTAAAAATTTAATGCAATTTTTTTTTATAGTTAAAAGGCATCAGATGGAGTGACATTTCTGATGAAATATCACATGTTTTAAATGTTTTATACCTCACAGAAAAGCGGAATGAATTGGCAAAAACTCTTTCTGGTGGCATGAAAAGAAAACTCTGTCTTGGAATTGCTATTATTGGAGGTTCTAAAGTATGTAATTTTTATACAATACAATAATATTCTGTTGCATTCATTAAATTTTAAGAACATGCAAACTCTACAAGATGTTTGGAAAAGGTGATTGTAGGCTTCATTTTCTTCTTTAACACTGATTGTAGATATATATTTCTATAGTTTACAATTTCTTAAAATAAACTGCAAACAAATTTTTATAAAAACAGTCTGTCTATCATGCATAGGAAAGATTCTCTAAAGCCGATATCATTTTATAATGTGATTTTTACCATTTATATGATTATGTTAAATTAAAATTTCCAATAAGTAAAATATCTATTACACTTAGATATAGATAGATATGTAGTCTTGACTACTGATATTTAAACTGAATTATAATTAGGAACAATAAGAATCACTAACGAAAAGCTAAGTTTACTGCTTTTATTTTTTAGCTATCAAAATGAGCTGCTACTAGAATAAAAATAACAAGAAAATCAGCATTCCAAAAATAATAATGTAAATCATGAAATCACTACTAGTTGCCATTCTACGTAAAATAAATTTTAGAGACATTAGGTTATTTTGAAGCAGGAGAGACAAAAAATTAGCAATGCCCTCGTTGGGACTCAAACCACGGACCTCTCGAATATGCGCCGAGTGTGCTGACCATTACACCACGAAAGCATGCTAAGAAGGTGGGAGAAATACCTTATATACTCCCCCTTTAAAGGGCGACTGGGGATTAGGGGACCCAATTCTGGCAAAATCCTCGTTGTGGAGAATCGTCATCCACGACTTTTTTTTTTTTAGTTCGGGCACCACTGTAAAGTCATTAGGTTTATTTTGAAGCAGGTGAGATGAAAAATGAGCATTGCCCTCGATGGGACTAAGACCATGGACCTCTTGAATACATGCCAAGTGGGCTGATCATTACACCATGAAGCCATACTAAGAAGGTGGAAGAAATACTGTACAAAATTTAAATATAAATATGAATAACTACTTATTGCCATTCAGCATAAAAGAAGTATAAATATGAGTATTAACAAAACATTAGAGATAGTTTTACAAAGTAATTAAACATTTACAAAAATATAAAATACTTGAAATAAAAAATGTTTATTACTCATGCAATAACTGGGCCACTACAGATATTAAAAAGTTCATATTTTTCACACAAAATTTACTGTGGTATACCTCTGAATGATTTGAAAAAGGCAGCTACAGACTTAAGTAAGGAATGCTGTTTTAACTAAATTGAAGCCATTAACTGCCAAAATGAGCTGTTTGGGTTCTCATCCCAAATAACACACACTATAATAAATTCACTGGTTCTTTATTTTATTAATTCTCATAATTAAATTACAATCACTCATTATTAACTCATAGCTGTGACCAGCACTCATACACCGTCGATGGCAATTCTCAAACTCGTCTGATGATAACATTACAGATGTGTATGCGGGGATTACATTACAGGTGCGCAGGTGCGAACATGCTGCTCTGTGTTGCAATGCGTAGCATTCAACTATTGTAATTAAGATAAAGTACGTAGGTAAGTTGAAAAATAAGTTTCTCCTGTCGACTGTGGTCAGAGTTGTGTATGAAAGTCAAAAAATAGAATGAGACATTAAAGATATGACATACCTTTATTTTTCCACATAGGTACCAAGTACATTGAGACATTTGTCATATCGCTTGATAAGCTTCAAAAAGCCCTCCAGGAAAAAATCAGGGCTTTGCATATGGAAGAAGCGTTGAACGGCTTGTTTCACTTCAGTATTGCTTCCAGAGCGCCTTCCCTCGACACACAAGGAACAATGCATGGGGGTCAGTCTAGAACATCTCGTGCGCTACCATGTAGATGGCAATGACTTTCTCTGTTTCGGATTGTGATGGGGGATGAAACGTGGGTCCACCATTTCACGCCAGAATCGAAGGCCGCATCTATGGAGTGGAAACATCTGTCATCACCTGTCCGAAAGAAGTTCAAGACAACTCCCTCTGCAGGTAAAGTGCTCCTCACAGTTTTCTGGTATGCCCAAGGAGTTTCGTTGCTGGACTTTTTGGAGGTTGGAACCATCAATGCTATGTGCTACTGTGACACCCTGTCAAAATTGAAAGAGGCAATTCGGAAAAAGCGGCCTGGCCTTCTCACATCTGGCGTTCTGCTGTTGGATGACAATGCCAGACCACATTCGGCGACGGCAACGCAAAACCATATTGCAACTCTTGGTTGGGTGCGCCTACACCATCCGCTATACAGTCCTGATCTCGCACCAAGCGACTTCCATCTGTTTCCGGCTTTGAAGAAAAATCTCGGGGGAAGGTGCTTTGGAAGCAATACTGAAGTGAACAAGCCATTCAACGTTTCTTCCATATGCAAAGCCCTGATTTTTCCCTGGAGGGCTTTTTTTGAAGCTTATCAAGCGATATGACAAATGTCTCAATGTACTTGGTACCTATGTGGAAATATAAAGTTATGTCATATCTTTAATGTTTCATTCTATTTTTTGACTTTCATACACAACTCTGACCACAGTCGACAGGGAAAACTTATTTTTTTCAACTTACCCTCGTATAAAGAAATTTAAACAAGTATTATAAAAAATTTTGAATAAGTACTATTACATAAAATCATTATTATAATTAGACATTTACGATATACATCAGTGTATAACTCAAAACAATGCAATATAACATTTCAGTTACATAATCACATTTTATGTGATGCACATTCAATACTACACAATAACAATAAAGACAATACTCATTTTTGTATTTGTAAGACACATAATTTGGTAATTGGTCGTTTGAAAGTTCCACTTTGAGATTTTACATTGCACATGCGAACCTTTCCATCTTTACCATAAAATACACTACTAGCCACCCAAATTGCAACACCAAGAAAGACAAGAGATATCACAACAAAATTTATTTAGTAGATAACATGTTGACCAAGTATCAAATGATTAAATTTTTAGACTTCTGTGAAGTGTGGTTCTTTCAAAATCAGTAGCCAGAGAAGCCGCCATTGTTGGAGATCACTGCTGCCACACGCCTCGGCATTGATTCAAAGAGACTTTGGATGTGTTCTTGGGATACAGCTGACCAAGCAGCTTCCACACGTTGCCTAAGTTGATCTGGTGTGGCAGCTTGGGATGTAATCTGGGTCAATCGTTCAGCAATCATGAACCACATGTTTTCTATCAGTGAAAGATCCGGAGAGCGAGCTGGCCTGGGAAGCAATTCAATCTGGCGATTGACCAAGAACTTTTGGACAATGCGTGCCACGTGTGGTCGCGCATTACCCTGTTGAAATATAGCTGTGTGCAAGCCATGAAGATAAGGAAGGACAACTGGCTCCAACACCTCGGAGATGTAGCGCTGGCTGTTTAAAGTACCGGCAATGCATAGTAGAGGAGTGTGAGAGTGATATCCAATACTGACCCATACCATAACACCCAGTGCAGGACCAGTGTGGTGGTGCATAACACAGCTGTTCAGCATCCTCTCTCCACGATGTCTCCAGACTCGAATCCAACCATTATGGTGTTGCAGACAGAAGTGTGACTCGTCAGTAAAGACAATTTCATTCCATTCTGCCGCCACATCCTTCTTTCATTGCACCATTGGCAGCGGAGGCGTCTGCACTGAAATTCAATTCATTTGCAGAACTCACCTCCTCTAATGCATGTTGTAAATTTCATGTTATTTGCAGGCTTCCTTCAAGGTGTTGCATTTACGGTGGCCAGCAGTGTAATTCTAGTATACGACCAAATACCCAATTACAACAAGGCAAATTATCTTTAATTAGGACCATGTCTCCAACTTGTATATTGTTTTTAGATCTTTGCCATTTAGATCGATTTTGTAAATGACTTAAATAATTGGAGTTCCTTTTTTCCCAGATAATTTGTACTAATCTTGTGATCTGTTGGCACAATTTTAACCTGTTAATGTTAACTTCCTGGCTCAGGAATCGAATTAATTGCTCTACCAATTAAAAAATGCCCAGTTAGAACTTCTAAATCATCAATGTCTGAAGACAAGGGTGTCAATGGTCGGGAATTTAAAATTCCTTCAATGTGAATCATAACTGTTAAAAATTGTTCAAAGGTCAATTTTGCATTGCCTACGACACGTTTGAAGTGACACTTAAAAGATTTAACTCTAGCCTCCCAGAGGCCTCCAAAATTGGGTGCTCTGCGGGGGGGGGGGGGGGGGAGAGAAATTTCCATTTGATATTCTCAGAGCTCAAATAACCAGCTAAAAGCTCATCTTGTTCACTAGTTTATGTAACCTCTTTAATTCTGCATTTGCACATACAAAATTAGTAGCATTATCACTAAATAGTGTTATGCAAAAAAATGTTTCAAGGTAGCTATTAATGCATCAGATGTAAGGTCTGTTATTAGTTCTAAATGAATGGCCTTACTAATCATACAAATGAATATACACTCATAAACTTTTTGATATACAGTACAAAGTCTTTAATCCAGACTCCTTGGAACTTCGGCGATTTCGGATTAGGGTTTTTTCCGGATTATAGATCATCAATTTAAATCTGCTAAGATGGCATGCAGAAATTATAAAATTAAAAATATGAAACCATAATTTATGAAATAAAGAGCAATTATGATGTATAGGGTATCAAAATTTACAAAAAAAAAAGCTTAATATTTATATTTGTTTACTTTATTAAACATTTCTTTCAATGTAAGTTGTTTTAAGTTGCTTCATTTTATGTGCTAATACTTTCTCTTTAATTCTATAAACAGACATAATTTCTTGTTCAGTTACAAAGTTCCGCTGTTGAAGCCCTATACTTGCTGTGCCGAGAATACCAACTAACTTGTCAATCAATTTTTTTTTTCATTTTCGCTAACCTCTCTGTCACTTTCTTCATGCCTTTATCCATTTTTTGCAGCAAATCCACTTTTTGTTTGATGGACATCGAAACATGCTTTCGCTTTGTAGATCCTTTGGCAGCTCCAGAATAGGAAACTCTTTTTGACATAATCGAAAGTTCA